ACGATTTCATCCATGTGCACGCATGCGCGTTGGTTACAATTCCATGCGCGCGTGCGCACGCAAGCTCAAAGAAGCGGCGCTTCCCGCTCTTGTCCGAAAACGGTCCCCCCCTAAACTGCCGCTTCGCTCGATACATCCTCGAACAAATCAGATGTCCAAGGACGTGGTTTAAGACGCTTTATGTAGACATGAGGTTCCCGATGGAGACACCCTCAGAGCAATGAAATCTCCTGGGATCTTGCGAATTCGCCGAAATCGTAAAAATGAGGCTCTCGCTCGAGACGTCGTCGAAACAAAAATGATGGTAGACAAACTGCTTCAAGACATTTTCTGTTCAAACTTGGGCTCTCGCTCGAGACATCCTCGAAACAACGAAGACGAGGAGGAAGATAAGGAGCAGGAGGAGGAAACGGAGGAGGAGAAGGAGGAGGAGCGAGGAACGAGGAGCGCGGAGCGAAGGGGAGGAGGAGGAAAAGGAGGATGAGAAGGAGGAGGAGGAGGAGTTGGAGGAGGAGGAGGAGCTGGAGGAGGAGGAGGAGGAGGAGGAGGAGGAGAAGGAGGAGGAGGAGGAGGAGGAGGAAGGGGGAGGAGGAGGAGGAGCAGGAGGAGGAGGAGGAGGAGGAAGAGGAGGACGAGGAGGAGGAGGAGGAGCAGCAGGAGGAGGAGGAGGAGTTGGAGGAGGAGTTGGAGCAGTAGGAGGAGGAGCAGGAGGAGGAGGAGGAGCACAACACGCTCCCAGCGCATGAATACCCACATAAAGCATACACTACGTAAACAGCACACCACTTACACTGAACACAAAACTTACGCACACCCTGCGCCCCTGCCGCCCGCCCGCCAGGCACACACACACACACACCCCGTACGCACACCGTGCACCCCCCCGCCCGCCCGCCAGGCACACGCCCCGTACGCACACCGTGCACCCCCGCCCCCCCCCCCCCCGGCACACACCCCGTACGCGCCCGCGCACACACGCGCACGCACCCACACAGCCGCACACACAGGCACACTCAGGCACGTGCACATACGCGCACACACAAGCATAGGCCACGCGCAGCACCTGACCAAAGCAACCGCAGGCAGCCACTAAGCACGAGCCACCAACGGCGACCATCTGGGCATCTAGGGGGTCCAACGACTGCATCCATGTGCACGCATGCGCGTTGGTTACAATTCCATGCGCGCGTGCGCACGTAAGCTCAGAAAAGCACTTCCCGTTCTTGTCCGGAGAAGTTCCCCCCAAAACGGCCGTTTCGCTCGAGACATCTTCGAACAACTGCAATGTCGAAACCGTCTGCTTGAGACGCCGTTCGTTAACAATGAGGTTCTCGTTTGAGACATCCTCGCAACAACGAGGACGAGGAGGAGGAGGAAGAGGAGGAGAAGGAGAAGGCGGAGGAGGAAGAGGAAAAGGAGGATGAGGAAAAGGAGGAGGAGCACGAGGCGGAGGAGGAGAAGGAGGAGGAGGAGGAGGACGCGGAGTTAAAGGAGGAGTTGGAGGAGGAATTTGAGGAGGAGTTCTGAGGAGGAAGAAGAGGAGGAGCAGGAGGAGGATAAGGAGCACAACACGCTCCCAGCGCAGGAATGCCCACATAGAGCATACACCACGTGAACATTACACCACTTACACTAAACACAAAGCGTACGCACACCCTGCGCCCCTCCCGCCCGCCCACCGAGCACACACCCTGTGCACCCCCCCCCCCCCGCCCGCTCGCCAGGCGCACACCCCGTACGCACACCGTGCACCCCCTCCCCCCCACCCCTGGCACACTCTCTGTACACGCCCGCGCACACACGCGCACGCAGGCACACAAAGGCACACACAGGCACACACAGGCACACACAGGCACGTGCACATACGCGCTCACAAGTATAGGCTACGCGCAGCACCTGACCAAAGCAACCGCAGGCAACCATGAAAAACGAGCTACCAACGGCCACCATCTGAGCATTTAGGGAGCCCAACGACTGCATCCATGTGCACGCATGCGTGTTTGTTGCAAATCCATGCGCGCGTGCGCACGCAAGCTCAGAGAAGCGGCGCGTCCCGTTCTTGTCCGGAAAGGTTCCCCTCAAACTGGCAGTTTCGTTCGAGACGTCCTCTAAAAAACAATTCGGAGAGATTGTTTTGATACATCGAGGCTCGAACATAGCACTTTCGCTCGAGACGTCCTCAGAACATCGAGATGCCGAGTGCGCTCTACTTGCTGTTTCTTCTTGGAACGCTCCTGGAGGGCTTCAGAATGGCCGATGACAGCTCGAACAGGCGCCCCAGAGGACCCCAAGAACGCCCAAACACACCCCAAAAAGTCCTTCATCATCTTCACCATCATTCCAAGCGTGATCGTGACCAGGAGGATGATGATACTGATCAACATCATCATCATCATCATCAGCATCATCGGCATCATCACCAGTATTGCAGCATTGGCTGCATCATCATCATCATCATCATCATCATCATCATCATCATCATCATCATCATCATCATCATCATCATCATCATCATCATCATCATCATCATCGTCACCATCATGGACATTATCAGCGCCATCGCCATCGTCATCATCATCGTCAGTGTCATTGCCATCGTTGACTGCCACGCGACGGAATACACGACGCATGCAACACACAGAACACATGACACACCCCCAGCACGCAAATGGCCATGTAGAGACGTACGCCACGCACAGAACATACTCATGCCGTACATCCCCCCGCCCGTCCCCCCCAAAACACATCCCACACGCCCACCGTACACCCCCCCCCGCCCGTCGCCACCAGAACGCACCACGCACGCCCACCGTACATCCCCCCGCCCGTCCCCCCCCCAGAGCACACCCCGCACGCACGCCGTACACCCCCCGTCCCGCGCGCCCAGCACACACCCTGCACGCACAGCCGCACACGCGCACACAGCCGCACACAGGCACACACAGACACACAGGCACACGCACACACGCGCACGCACACGCACACGCACACGCACACACACACACACACACACACACACACACGTGCACAGGCCACGCGCAACACCTGACCAAAGCAAGCGCAGGCAACCACTAAACATAAGCTATCAATGGCAACCGTCTGGGCATGCAAGGGATCCCAGCGATTGAACCCCATGCGCATACGTGCGTGTCGGGTGCAACTCCATGCCCGCGTGCGCACGCAAGCTCAGAGAAGCGGCGCGTCCCGTTCTTGTCTGGGAAAGGTTTCCAAGAAGTATTTGGCAGCCATTGTTTCTGCAGCCTGTGCGGAACGTTGGGACATCTGGGAAGGCCTGGAAACCCTGGAACGTAGCATTTCCATGACCTTCTGATTCAGCCCGCTGACACGCGACAAGACCCCCAGAAGTGCGGGCAGTGCTGAAGACAGCGTCGATGGCTGCAACCAGGAAGGGGTGCAATTGCACCCTGCCGTGCTTGAATCTAGCAGCGTGCTCTGTTCGGAAGCCCTCCTCGCCACCACCCTCAAAGAAGCCCAGCAGGTCGATGAAGCACTGTGGCTTGGTCATTTTGGCATGCTCCGGCGGATTGAACGTACTGTGGCTTTCAACGTCTCGCCTTGGGCACTTCAATTTCGACCTCAATGGCCACGGCGGCCCTACCCGCGATGCGAGCATCACGCTCCCAGATGGCATCAAGGTGAAAGGCGGGAGGCCATGTCTGCTAGAGATGAACACTGCAACAACGACAAGTCTGACGAGAATCGCCATGCGCAAATGTTGATCAAAGTGTTCCGCACGTTTCGCCGCGCTGCCCGAAGAGCCCAAGCTGCATGGTTTCTTGGAATATCCTGCGTCCAAAGGCCCAACTCAAACGCACCTGCCACAAAGAGCAGCACCGCAACGCCGTACATCCCCAGTAGCGTGCTCATCGCGCGCAAGCCCGCCAGTAAGCCATCGGACCCTGGATACTTCCTCATGCTCCTACTCCTACTCCTCCTCCCCCTCCTCCTCCTCCTCCTCCTCCTCCTCCTCCTCCTCCTCCTGGACGACGGCACCGATTGTTGCCAGCAGGGACAGCCTGCAGTGCTCCACCCCAGCGGCGCGCGCTGTGCAAACGCCTGCCTGGCCGCCCTGCGCCGAAGAGGCAGACAGGTTGAAACACTAGATGGGAGGAGGGAGGAGGGAGGAGGAGGAGGAGGAGGAGGAGGAGGAGGAGGAGGAGGCTCCGACGACTTGAGCAGACTCGCACCGATCGTACCATCCTCGATCCCAGCTGCCGACGCGGTCCTCCACGCCATGAGAGAGAGAGAGAGAGAGCGACGCTACTTCATGGCACTCAAGCCCGTGTGCGGGATGCCGTCTGTGTCATGGGCATCGACCATTGACCACCTTTGGTCTCTTTGTTCCACGTGTGCTCGTGCGACGTCGTGCTGCCCAAGGCCACTGGGCTATCGAAGCGTCGAGCACCTTGCGGCACTGGCTCCGCCACTCCCGACCGCAAGGCGCGTGGCTCTGGGGCAAGGGTCGGCCCGACCAAGGCCACGCCCGTGGCCGGGCCCGGGCCAGAGAGGCCCGATCAAGGCCACGCCCGCGGGTCTGGGCCAGAACAGCCATGCCCAGGCATCCGGCTGCTCCAATGTTTGTTGGTGCGTGGGCCCCGGAGGTCCGGACCACTTCCCCGGGACCGGTTTTTTGTCCTGAGTCGTTTTTTGACGCTCCCGAGGCCCGGCGAGGGCCCCTGGAGGCCGACACCTGTCAAAAACCGCCTGCTCCAATTCTTTGGAGCGTCGGATCTCAGGGTGAGCCAGAGCTGCTAGAGCCCTCCCTCGCCTTGGTCCCCCTGTTTGGTGCGCCCCTGGGGTCCTGTCGAACGAGGCGGTCAGGTTGCCCCAATTCGTCTGGGCCCAGTCCTGGCTGGTCGGGCGGGGGAGGAATAGGATGCGGACAGAAAGGCGGAGGAGGAGGAGGAGGAGGAGGACTGTCGACTGCAATGCGACGGGACGCGGATGGGTAGGGGACGGAAAACGACGTGGAGAGAGCGTTTTTTTCTCCAGACGCACACCCAGCGGCTTCCAGCAACGGGTGCCCTAAAAAGAGATACCCCGTCGGAGGGGAGAGAGAGTGGCGCGAGCGGGCCAAGGGTGACCGAGAAGATGCCTGTAGCCGCACCAGCTCAATTGGATCACGAACTCGCCCGCCGTCCAAGAACGCATCGGGAAGCCGACGGCCGCCCAGACAGGATGGGATCCGTGCTTGGCGGCTGCCAGTTCCAGAAGGTTCACGGCAGTGGCCTCTCTCTTCGACGTGGCTGGCCGTGTGTCACGGCATCCTGCTCTGAAGACAGGGTCTTCAGGCACGTCAGCAGGGGGGTGAGGGATGAGTCTCGTGGAGGTTGCGGCCCGCACATCAAAAATCAACTCAGCTGCGCACGCCGACCAACCTAGAAACCAAGCAGCAACAGCAGCAGCAACAGCAGAAATCCGCCACCGTGCCTCCTGGCATGCTGAGGCGTGGAAGGATACCAATATATGCCTGGTGAGTTTTTACCCGAACGAAGGGGCCGACCGCTCATTCACTGTCCCCAGATGCGTGTCTGAAGTGGGACTCCGCGGCGCGGATTATGTTTTGTTGTTGTTGTCGGTGATGTTATTGGTGTTGGTGTTGATGTTGGTGTTGTTGTTGTTGGTGGCGGTGGTGGTGTTGTTGTTGGTAAATTCTCTTCACTGGAAAAAATAAATACAATTGATCCCCCCTTCGGCAACATATGTGTTTTTCAATTGACGTGCCCCTCCGGGGGGGAGTCTTTCTACTCAAACTGTCCCCCTGGCCCCCGGTTTACAACAACAACAAAGACAAGGACGTTCCCGGACGGTCTTGGTGAGAGCGACGGCTGGAGCTCCCGGCTTGGGGGGATAGGGGCCTTCCCCGACGCCTTTCCCTGGGGTGATCCCCCCCTCCAACAACAACAACTACAGCCCGTTTCAAAAAATGACCCTCTCGCTGTCCCTGGACAGTAGAGGGATTCGCTCTTCTGACGTTCATGTGCGCGCCAGAGAAGCGAGCTTCCTTTGGTAAGGATTTGTCACTAAAAATCACTTGCGTAATGATTCCTTACAAAGGATTCCTTAATAAGAACTCCTTAGTAAGAAATCCTGAATAAGGATTCTTTATTAAGGATTCCTTGCGAAGGATTCCTTGACAAGGACTCATTCCTAAAAATCCGTTAGTAAGGATAAATACAGATCGCTGTAGAAGGGGTTCCTTAACAAGGATTCGTCAATAAGGATTCCTTGGCACGGATTTCTTAATAAGGATTCTTTAATCATGAAGACTCCTTAATAAGAAGTGCTTAATCATAATTCCTGAATAAGGATTCTTTAATAAGGATTATACACTACATAATCCTTAATCCAGACTCCTTGGCAAAAGGATCCCTTAACAAGAACTTCTTACGAAAGCTTCCTTACTGAAGATTCCGTGCTAAATATTCCTGAATCAAACTTCCTTAATCAAGATTCCGTAATACAGATTCCTGAGCAAAGGTTCCGAACCTGTCCTAGTGAAAACTCCGTAATAAAGAATCCTTGGTATTCCTTAATAGAGACTCCTCAACAAAGATTAATTACTACATCTCCCTTTGTATAAAGAGCCCTTGATCCATATTCCGTCCTAGAGACTCCTTCATAACGAGTCACTACAGGATATTCCTTCATACAGATTACTTACTACATGTTCTTTGTTAAAACCAAAAACCCTTAACACATTTTCCTTGACACATATATATATAGATACTAGAACCACGCGCGCGCTTAGGTTCCAGTCGACCCCATCCCTTGAGGAGGTCCCGTATCCACTGAAGTGATTACCCATTGATGGTGTAAACATGAGGTACAAGAAGCATCCATAATGCTGGCCGAACAGAACCCAAGCACCGACAATGACATATGCTCCTTAATCCGCCGACCCTGTCGGCGTGTGTGAGGCGCTCTTCCATTTGTCGTCGTCGGTGTCGTCGTCGACGTCGCCGTCGTCGTTGTCGTCGTCGTCGCTCTCGCCATCTTCCCCCTTTTCCCGGGCCCTCTTCCTCAACCGATCCAGCCAATACGAAATCGAATCGAACAACGAAGGGAAGCACCTTCCCTTGATCCCTTCCCCAGCGGGCGGGGGGGTCCTGGGGCAACTCCCGCGGGGTGGTCCCGGCGGGTGGTCTCGGGGGGTGGTCCTGGGGGGTGGTCCCGGGGGGTGCCCTGGGGCCAGTGGGGCTCCTGTTATTGAATTGCCGATCCCGAATATGTGGCGGAGGGTCCCCGGGACCCCCCCCAAGAACCGGGGGGAGAGAGCCTCTCCTCCCTTCCCCCCAGCGTCCCCGCTTTGCCCCCCCTTCCAAGCGTCCCATGCTCCCCCTGTCCACAGGAGGGAGCCCCCCCCCACGGGCCAGTCCCCCCTCCACAGGGGGGAGCGACCCCCCTTGGTCGTCGTCGTCGTCGTCGTCGTCGTCGCCGCCGTCGTCGTTCAGGGTCGACGGCACCGGCAGTAAGGCCTCTCCAGTATTCAATTCGAAGCGATGCAAGCCAGTTTAGCCAAGCACATGCAAGGCTATGAATGCAATGCAAAGCAAAGGAAAGCGATGCTCATAAATGCAATGTGGATCACGAAACAATGCAATTGCACATGCAACGGAAAGCAGCCCAGTGGAATGCAATGCAATACAATGCACGATAAGACGAAAGACCGAGAGAGTCCGAGGCGTCACGGAACTCAGAGATCCCAGGGACGAGCCGCCCTGGGAAAAGCCCAAGAGGACCCCAAGGGGAGCCCAAGACAGGGTCAAAGGGCACCCAAGAACATCCAATGAGTTCTCCGAAAGAGGCTAAGGGGGGCCCAAGCGTGGCCCCGAAATAGCTCCAAGCAGGCTCCAGAACGAAGCACAGGAGGGCCCCAAGAGGCGCCCCAAGAAAGCCCGAAGATAACGACAGAAAGAGAGGGTTCAAGGAAGTGCCTCCTCAGCGCGACAAAAAAACGCAGAGGCCCACAATGAGCCCCAAGAAGGGCGTTCTCAACAGCCCCATCCCTTGAGAAGGTCACAGCTCCACTGAAGCAGTGACCCACAACTGGCTTGAGCTCGAGGTAAAAAAGTACCGATCATGCGGATGGAAGCGAGACCTACGGCCCCAGATGAAGGCGGGGTTCACATGGCGCCCCCCCGTCAATTTCGGCACGGCACTCACACGAGTCTTGTCCCCCTGGGAGCTCCTCTTTCGGGTCCAGGGACAAAGTTCGCACGGCGTCGCTCCGCCCATCTCGGCACACCCAACACACGAATCGTGCCCAAGAGGGATGTTGTTTCACGTACGGCCTTAGTGTGGGGATTCGCATAACGTCACGTCCCCCCCCCACGCGTATGTCGACTGTCTCCTCACACGAATCGTATCAACAGGGAGCTCCACCGACGGTTCCAGAGCCAACGTTCGCATCCCGCCGCCCCGCCCATGGCAGTAAATACACCCCTGACCTGGATCGTGAGTTCGGGGCGTCTTGGGTGCTTCTGTGGGCCACGCGGCATGTTTCTGTGAGGCCTCTGAAGCCCTGAGATGGATCGTGAATCGGGAGCCTCTTGAAGCCTTTTCTGGGAGCCTCGTGCAGGACGTCGAAGCGAGACCTCCCATACGCTTACGGGTGACTACTGGGAAGCCTCCTGGGACCGTTTTGGGAGCGCTTTGGGAGTCTCTGGGGGCCTCTTGGGACCTTCTTGGGGGTCCTTTTGGGGTCCTTTTGGGGCTCTTTGGGGCCCTCTTGGCCCGTCCCGGGGCCCTCTTGGACCGTCTTGGGCGCTTGGGCCGTCTTGGGGCCCTCTTGGGGCCCTCTTGGGCCGTCGAGGGTGCCTCCTGTGGCCCTCTTGGGGCTCCCTGGGGACTCTTTTGGGAAACTCTGGGGACCGTCGTGGGCCGTCGGGGGGCTCTCATGGGCCGTGTTGGAGCTCTCTTGGGCCGTCTTGGGGCCCTCTTGGGGGTCTCTTGGATCGTCTTACGGCCGTCTTGGGGGCCTTTGGGTCCGTCTTGGGCGCTGTTAGGACCGAAGAAGCGAATATGCTAAAAACATACGCATTCCGAAAGGAATTTGGCTGTTTTTGCCTTTTGGTGGCCTCTTGGGCCGTCTTGAGGGCCTCTGAGGCCAAAAATATAAATTTCCCGCTGGTTTGTGACAGATTCGAATTTCTCGAGGACCTTTTCGGAAGCCTCTCGGGCACCCTTGGGGGCATCCTGGGCCGTCTTGGAGCGCTCTTGGGGTCCTCTTGGTGCGTCTTGGAGAGCTCTTGGGCCATCTGTAAACAATCTTGGGCGGATTTAGGGCTGCTCTGAGCCTCGGGGGCGGGTCCCGGAGGGCTCCTGGGAGGGGGGCACTACCTATGTACAGGGGGGGAGCCCTGCGGGTGCCCGGGGTCGGAATCCCCCATATACGTATATATTCCTGAAGAAAAACACCTGAACAAATACTCCTCAATCAACAATCCTTTTTCCCACAAATTTCTTAATCACATGTCCTTAACAAAGGTCCCCGGAACAAGATTCCTTATCGGAGATTCCTGATCAACGATTCCTTAACGCAGGTTCCTCAATACATATTCCCGAATAAAGTTTCCTTCCTAAGCATTATTTACGAAAGGTTCCTAAACAAATATTCCCAAACCAAAAGTCCATTACTTAAGATTCCACACTAAGAACTCAACACAAAAGACTCCTCGATCAATAATATTGGACCAAGATTCGTTAGTAAAGGCTCCTCCTTTTTTCCCAAAGAGTCCGTACTACAAGTTCCTTAGCAGATATTCATCACTAAAGGTTTCTGAATAAAAGGGTACTTACTGTAGACTCCTCACTGGAGATTCCGATCCCTTCGTCTGGGTACCTTGTGTAAATCTTCCTTACGAAAGACTCGTCGGTAAGGGTTCCTGTGTAAAGTGATGTCAGCCCTTGAACAAAAAATGGCTGTGCATGACGACACAGTGGCCAAGGCAACCCGAAGACGGCACACACGAACTTCCTGAGATGTCTACATAACTTGAAAGCGAAATATACCCCATGAGGTTGTATTCCTCGTGCTCCCCCTGCTTTTCCTCGTCCTCCTCCTGCTCCTCCTCCTTCTGCAAGTCGTCATCATCACTACCACCACCAACATCACCACCAGCGCCAGCAGCATCATCATCACCATCCTCACCAGTACAACCACCACCATCGTCATCATCATCATCATCTTCAGCAACACCAACACCAACATCGTCATCACCACCATCATCATCATGATCAACATCATCATCTTCATCATCGTCATCATCCCTATCGTCATTCAAAACACCCTCATACGCATTTATGTCCTGATCACTGCTCTCTCAAGCCTTTGGATACTATGTGTTCCATGTGACAGTCTTCCTCATCATCATCCTCTTCCTCCTCCTCCCTGATCCTCCTCCTCGTCGT